TAAAGGATAAAGAGAAATACTCGTAAGCTAGCACGTTTAGTTGTTTTCCTTGTTTCTGAAAACCTTTTATCTAGTTCACATAGAACAAGGGTACACAAGTTTAGAGTGATTTTAGAAAGAGAACGGATTATGGAAATTTGATAATTCATTACTCAATCAGACAGAATATTTAGATCTGGTTAAAAAAGTTAATTTGGCAAATGAAGTGGAATGCGCTACCCCTGTTTATATTATTGACAATGTCTAAGCCATTCCTGACACTGAAAGAGGATTTATTGTTTAAAATTCTTCTGATGGATATCAGGCAAATATTGTTCAAATTGAAAGATACAACAGCAAATCTTTCATGAAACTAATACTGAAACTTTTTGTTTCATTTTGTTAACAGAAACTGTCAAAAACCGTACTAAAATTGTAAAAGAGTGTGGCACTTTAGTCTCCAATTGCATGGATATTTGAAATGAAATACGATATCTTAGGCAAAATTATAGACATTGGAATTCAATTTCAGCATCCCTTTAGAAATATTGGAATTCCAAATTTAGATATCGCAGACCTGAATTTATTTCTCTAACTGAGACTTTTTTTATGTATAATACTCAACGTACCGTCAACAACTAATGCCATTTAAAGACGGCCTCCTGGTGTATGGGAGTTAAATGCATGTGCTGAGTTGTGTGTTTTGGGAGGCTGTGATTAGTGTAAGCTTTCTTGGGAAAGTGCAGAAGCAGAACTGAAGCCAACTTTATACTATTTCCTCGTCCGGGTTTTAAGATGTTTTGGAAACAGTTAACTACTTTCATTGTTAGATCAATTAATGACGATTAGTTGGAGTTACTTGCTAATCTAATGGTTATAAGCCACATTAACATTTTGAAAAAAAAAATGATGAAAATTTCTTGTTTAAAATTGTTAATATATGTGATATAGTTTCTGGGACTATAGTCTGGAGAAGAAATAGAGATTAGCAATACTTTACCTTCACAATTCAATACGGCCGTTTGTCAGACATTTTCTTCTTCTTTGGACCGCTCTCAAATTTCACGACCTGCATGGTTTTTTTTCTCATTTGTAACCTCCGTATAAAGATTAATCAAAATTCCTTGAGAAATTGCCGTTTTTAGAACAATAACTGTTGGATATCAAATGTTCCAAAATAAGACATCAAACAAACACAACATATAATCTCTTTATAAAACGGTGTTCTGAAAATTATGTTATTTTACTATTCCACATACCCTATCGACCTTTCGCTTTTAAACAACATTTTGCACATTGTGAAACAATTTAAAGTCAAGAGTGACATACCGATCAAAAGCTATATGCAAACTTCAGATTGCATTTGATTAAGGAGTTCTTTTGGTGAATGGGCTCCCTGTTATATAGACTGGAACGAAGTTATCATTGACCGTTTTCGGAACGGACATAAATATGTTCAACATTCGTATATACTGACGAACGGAGTCAAAGGGCAGACAGGAAGGAAATACAATGGAATATTGACGTTACGGAACAACCGCGCCGGACTGCATCGGAAGCCATATTGAAATACAGAGGAATAATGCCTTTTTATAGCGAGAAATGAAAAAAGTGTATGTTCTTTGCTTTGGAATTTTAGGTCATATCAAAAATACTGTTTTGGCGGTATCAAATACATGTTAAGCAAATCGATAACGTTTTAATTTGGACATTTCAACATGACACGTTTTCGGTCACATTAGAGGGCATAGAATTGTAGAGAATTGCATTTGCTTATCAAACTCTTCTCAAAACTTTTTCTTAACGTCTCCTTCGCTACTGACTGCCTTTGCCTTTTAGTTCAAGTTGGTTTTACAAATGGTGTTTCCTAACTACTTTAAGTAAACACTGACCTGAAATGCCTCAATTTGATCACAAAGTTTGTACTAATTCTATTTAATGTCAATGGTATCCAAGGCATTATGCACCGCATTTTAAAGAGCAAAGTTTGGATAGAATTGGATTTTGTTCCAAACCCCAGTACCTTACGAAACACATCCGACGAGCTGAGCATCTCAACATCGCTTTATAGTGGCATCACCTTTAAATGTCAACATCAACACAATGAAAGTTCTTTTGTGTAGCGTTTCAAAATAAATCTTAAAGGCCTTGGCATTTTGGGCTTACAATACACCTGTAATAGACACATTGCTCCAAAATGTTAATTCAGGAATGTACAGTTCATGTGATGATCATTAGTCAGTTATCAAGTGCCACATTTAATAACCGTTTTATATCGCGCTTTAGTACAAAACTTAAAGCCGTTTATATACGATTCAGTTATGTCAAGTTTGTATGGGGAGAATGTCAACAGCTCGTAATGTAATATATCTTCTACATTGCTACCACATTCAGATGAAGTCAAGATTTCTATAAACCTTATGAATGTATAGTTTTAAGTGTTGCTTTTAAAAGTAATTATTGAGAAGTCTATTAGCGTTACAATGAATAGGCCTAGAATCACATTGGGATCATAGGGACAGATTTTCCGAAATGAAATGCCCTTGAACAATATTGAAGGTCAAATTATTGGAATCACTAAATCGGCTTTTTCTTATTAATGGAAACTCAAAGAAACCATGATACTTTGTGGATAAGTGGTAACGTCCAACAAGGACTGCAGAAAAGGCTTCTCAATTTATTAAAGGTCAAAGTGGGCAAAAATCTTACCGAAACACTCAGAATCATAGTATTTTATTAAAAATAAAATTTCTGGAAAGAAGCTCGACAAAGAAATAATCTTGAAAAACATTCAAGGTCACAAAGGCCAAATTGTTCACGCTCGATAAAAAAATTATTTAAAAAGAGGTATGAGAATCATTTGAATTTTAGGTCACATGGATAAAACCCAACAAAGTTTGTTAAAAGCTATGACATTGTCTCATTTTTACGGGATCAGGGATTATATAACAAAGGCTTAATCAGTTTCTATTCCGAGGATGATGCATGGCAAATGTAGTGAAATGAATTACCCTGATATGGATTCAATGTGACAATGATATATTTACACACCCTAATGCCTAATTAACCGATATTACATCATATTTGTCTAATTGCTTCCTCGGATGATCCCCAACAAAGATTTCAAAAATAAATGACCTTGACCATATTAAAGGCTTTTGTGGTAAAATTTCTTCAACCACTGATACAGATATGTTTTCTAATGTTAATGTATCAGATAAAATGGTGTATGTTAGGCGAGGATTGCAGGCAAATTTATAGGGTGATACAAAACCAACAGGAATAAGTCCGATTTCAACACAGACGAAACTATTTTAAACCAGATATCAGCAGATCCCTTTTGAGTCCGGAAAGGTCGATGGATTACTTCGCCTGTAATAAGAGTACTCTCCCGCAAAATATAATTGAGATAGATAGAACTATCTATTTCTTTTATTTGTTTTTAAAACATCATTCGATTTGTTTTGTTGCCTTACGGGGTTGTTATGGTCGCAACGGCCAGGATCAAAGAGTACAGGTGTGAAGAGAGAAACCGAAAGTAGAAGTGAAACACAGAGAGAGCATAGAGGGAAAGATCAATATCCCAAGTGTTACAATGTACAATGGGAATAGCAGATCTATTTTCATTTGGTCTTTGTCGCTTTTGTAGGAGCGGAGAACTTGCAAGAGCGAATTATGCCACGTCATGAATAAAAATTGATTTGACGGAATTTATCAAAGCCAGTCTTATAGTTAAATCATGTTGAAGAGTAATTCGGATATGGATACCAAGATAAGACTCTAATGAATTCACGAGGCTTGCCAATTTTATGAGTTGTGACCGCTTCTTTATATTCAATTTACTTTTAAGTGAAAATGATACAACGCTGATAATACATATATGCAGCCCGACTACCTGTCATTCGTAATAAACTATTTAAGAAGTTCGATTTATGAAAAGCTAAGCAAGAGCTTATTTTGATCATCACGTAAGTCTCGCAGTTTCCTTTCACTGTAGGCAGCCAATTAAGTTTATCTTTAAGGTATCGTGAGCATGCTGATAATCTAATAAAGGTCAAGGTTACATCTTTGCAAAGATATGTCACAACCTGTTGTCATTCTTTGAGTTGTATTGATAAATTGATTCTGTCTCTCATAAATATTAATCTTAGAAATATTTTAAAAGAACTGAGAAGAGACGTTATCAACTGAAGATTGAGATTGTGAATGCCATTGCTCAACATTACCTGTAGAGCCGAGATTGAGCAAACTTCAATTGAAATAGTTAAAAAAAAATCCACAAATTTCTGCAAAATATTATCAAAATAAAGATTTTCACGGAGACTCTTGAAATGTAAAACGAGTATAAGACCATGAGTTTGAAAGTGAAATTCAATATAACTGTTCGCAAGCAGCCTACCTCAAACACACGATCGTAACAAATGCACTCACCTCGCACCTATGTGGAAACAATTCTAACACAGAAACAGGATGTTATCAACATGAAAACAAACTGCATGTAATCAAAAATGTTTTTTCAACGGATTTCATTGATGAAGTAGAGCATACTATGCAGCACTCGGTCTTCTCCGTTTACATTATCCAATGATTCCGATTTTCATACCTTGTCATCATTTGCATTAAAATTGAAATAGTGATATGTGTTGATACCGGGATAAGGTATACATTTCTCAGATATATAGATCATACATGTACATCAATATATCGGAGAAATGAAAACGACCGAACCACCATAGTCCATGATAAAATTCATTCTTTCTTTTATAAATGATCACATGAAAGAACACAATCCGCAATGGTTTAGAATAGTTCCGTAGTTGTTTTGCAAAATGTTGTACAAAACGAACAGGACTAAATTTGGGACTATACAATATCCATTTATTGTCGTTTTGAGAAGAACCCCACATAAACCCAATCCCGATTTTCAAGGTATTGCAGTAAACTTGCTTCTCGAGTTGTTAACTTTTATCTGAAGTGACTATTGTATGATTCATTTGTCGATTTTATTTTTGTATTTCCAGGTAAATCGATCCCATATCTTACCATGTTCAAAGGACGGTACTTCTGCAACGATCTTCGACTTTGTTTACAATCTTCTCAAGAATTCTGGCGTGCAAATTCCCGAGAATACGACAACTCCAAACTGTACGAGTACGGACGTATGGCTTCCCCAAGGAGAAAGCGTCGAAGCCCATATGGTCAACAAAGCTGGCAGGATGTTCTTCGCATATGTCACGCCAATAATACTTTTTATAGGCATACTGGGAAACTGCCTATCTCTAAATGTCTTTTTATCGAAGAACATGCGTGGCTTGTCGGCAAGTACATATCTCGCAGCCATTTCCAGTTCAGACCTCCTCACTCTAATCTTCTACGTCAATGTTGAATGGTTAAGAAGGGGTTTGGTGTATTTAAACTCTGATGTACAGGTAAAATTTTTGGATACGACCGGTGTTTGTCAGTTTCAGCTATATATGTCTTACGTTTCACGTTTCTTATCTGCTTGGCTGGTCGTCGCATTTACAGTGGAAAGGTATATTGGAGTGTGTCATCCACTCAGGCGTAGGGATATCTGTACACCAAGCAGTACCCGTCGAATTATCATAACGACCTCGTTTGTGGCAGTTCTGTTGGTTATCTACAAACCTGTGTTGAGTGGTGTTCACAATGGATCCAGTGAAGGGCATCCTTATTGCACAAGTGATCCTAGTCATGACTTTCTATCATTTGTATTAGATAGCATTTTCGCAGTGTTGATAACACTTGTACCCTTTCTTTTCATAACAGTTTTAAATGTTCTTATAATCAGGAAACTATTTATCAGGAACAAACGACAGAAAGAATGCAAGGTTGTGACTGAAGAAAGTGTGATAAAGCTGGAATTTACGGTCATACTTTTGGCTATTTCGTTTTGTTTCGTTGTGTTTAATGTTCCATTTTTTGCTGTGTGGTGTCGAAACTTTCTTCATTCCAAATATGTCTACAAATCCGTAGAACAAGACATGAGTGACGACATCGAGTATTGGCAAGGTATATTGTACATAACACGAACTATTTTTTACATGAATTACTGTATAAACTTTTTCCTTTACAGTATTACCGGTGCTTACTTCCGTCGTGAAGTACGTATGCTTTTTGTTTATAGACCTTCAGAGTTACGTGGTTCATACAGTAGATGTTCTCGTATCAACTCAAACTCACACACGCCCCAGTCGTGGGTTTGACGTATATGGGTAGGCATGAAATGTGTCACACGGGCATTCAATAATACAAGGTCTTATCTATAGTGTCAAAGACCTTTCCTACCATCACGTACAACTTTGCAATTACTGCATGTTATTCGATTTTCCTCATTCGTACAAGACGGAATCAATGGTCAAGGGTAAATGCAAATCAAAGGTAATGATTAAAACATAAAACAAAAGACACTTCGTGTATCGTTTGCATTCGATCAATACGCTTTATATCGGTCTGGAATTAATTTGCAACAACACATCTATACAATTAAAATCGTTCGCAAACGTTTCATACTCGTTTATAAATTCCATCCATTTCGTCACGTATTCAGTCATTTGTGATTATCTGAATTACTTTCAATTAGAAAATTGTCAAATAAAAAATAAACAGTAAATGTTGCTGTTAACTTCAAGACAGTTCTGCACTAACCGAGTCTTTAAGTGCGTACATATAATTTGGACAAAACGAAGTGCAAATATCTCGTTTTAACTAAAGTGCATGCTGCAATCGACAACCTTTATTCGATTATCATTCGTCTTTTGACATTTGCCTCTAAGACGTTCTTCGTGCAAGCCGCTTTGACAGCATAAAGCGATAAGTTTTTCTTTGGTATCACAATAAAATGAGTGAACAAGAACAGAGAATAATTACTTATTTCACTTTATCTAACTCCGTATGTACATGTAAGCATGTTTATTGACTAGAGACGTGTCGTCAATTAAGTGTAAGTAATAGAAAACTAAGGCTGCCTCAATAGCAACTATTAGGCTGTTCCGTGATTTTTATCCACAGCTACGGTCTCGGGAAATTAAGTTAGTGTTGATTTACAAAAGAACATCCATCTAAGCAATCGAAGTGATGATGCTACTCTACGGCTTCGAATGCTTGCCGTCGCTATTCAACGCAATTACCATATCATGCTTTCCCAGCAGGGAATTGCAAATTTAGGATTTATTCTCTGGGTCTTCATTGCAACAACATCGTATGATAACACCATAATGAACCATATTAAAAGTGACGGCTGTTAACTGCAACAGTTATCCTTGGGTAGTCTAAATTTTCTTCAGTATACATTTTACAAGAATGTTGTGAATGCTGAATTATTCAATATTCATTTAATTGTCTGACTATTGAAGGTTAGCGCCTCATGTCGCTGTAAATTACGACATTGTTGCTCTTTTTAGTAACATGTTTCGAATGCACGCTTATCTTGCAGCCTTATTCTGTTGAATCTTTCTATATGAATTTGAAATAGATTACTGACCGTAGTTTATAAACTTGATGTCAAGTATAAATTGATACTTAAAACAGTGAAGCCCACGCTATTTACGAATATCTGGAGTTTTTACCAAGTTGATTATAAACTCATTGCTGGGCTGTAGATATCATTGTAATAACCATAACAATAAACAATTTGGAACCTAATTTTTTTCTGCAATCGGCGTGATTGGATGAAAGCATTTTCAATTGCGAAGGCCTGATTAGAACTTGACGAAACTGAAAATATGTTCGTTTTTCCGATGAAATTATAAAGTTTTATTAGAGAAATATGTCAGACATTGAAATGGCTTGAATACACCAGATAAGGTGCCGTTTTAATCTTGCAGAGTAAAGAAGGAAGTAAATTGTTTAGTATTTGTTCGTTATAAAACCATAGTTCTGCCAATCAATACACAACTGACACTATCTCAGGATGCATAGCACTTATGTTGTTAATTAGTTAGGGTGAGATACCTATAACCTTAATCATCAAATCAAAGCAAGCAATGAAAAATCATATTCAGTAAACATCTCCCTAGTGAATTTTGTATAAACTTTGATATGTGTCTCAGGGAAGCTAATGTGCGTTACTGTTGATTAAGTAAAGATAAAGGTTGCGTTCATCTTATTCAATGTATAATTGACTTTTTAATCTAGGAAATTAATGTAAATAAATGAAATAAGGTAATTTTTGTATTTGAACATTTTATCCTTTTTGTAAGATCATGTTTCGACAGGGCTGTGCAATGATATGAATTAGATCATTGCATCATGCTTATCATTAACATATTCAAAATAGCGTCCTAGATTATTTTGTTAAAATATATTTTTGGTGAAGCACAATTTGCAATCATTCATAAATTTATCTTTTTGAATTTGAAGATTTTAAATTTTACTTATATTAACGTGCAGTCAACAGCTATGGTCAGTGCCTCATTGAAATAGTGTGGAATTGGGGCCGAATTGGTAGTACCACCACACTGAAGTATATTGCCGGAATTTCTCTACAAGGCCCCTAACCCAAGCACATTACACTAACGACAGATAGACAATTAGTATAACAGTCCAATATTTTTCTTAATTACTCGGCCAGTGTAGAGAGTCCAAGCCTTCCTCACATGGATAAACTAAAATCCCAAAAGAGAGGTATTGTCCCTGGACACATTAGGACAGGTAAAATTATAAAATGTGACGATACACTTGCATGCAATAACAACAATCTTGTGTTTTGAACATTCCTTTATTATACGGGGCTCTTAGATATAAATTACATATTATACCTCCCTGACTTGTTAATGAATGTAAAAGTCATGCTTTCACAACATATGTGGATATGAACCGAATAATGTAATCTTTATTGAAAAACCTACCTATATTGCAGTTTTAAATTGATCTTTTAGGCTGTTGGGACATATCACTGCACACTATAATTTGCCATGAAAACAGTGATAGCAATCCACTATCCTTGAGTTGTCGAGTAACATTCGGATTCATAAATATCACACCGATTAAAGAGTTGTTGCGATGCATATAGCCATAGACACTCGACAATTAGCTATATAATCGCGACCCTGCGTTAATATACCAGATATCTGATATAATTACATAAAGTATTCTGAACATGCATCCTTGCTTGTAACTAGAGTTGTATATAATGGTAGGACTTCATGTCTGCCCTGGACACATCATGCCTATCCATACACAGATGTTGCATATTTTTGTATATTTTATAAACCACGATCATTATTACAATTATACTGCCAAAAATAAGAGACTCTCATTTTTAAAGACGATTCTTATTACATGTGATACGAGATGCAGTTAAGTCAGAGAAAAAAAACAAAAGAAAAACGACTGATGTTATATTGATGTTAATACTGAGTAAATATCGTGTATACAAAGACGTAAACATTAAGCGAATGGGTTGTTTTAACATGTGATGTATTACAATGCATACTTTTGATTTTCTTTTTAACGAAAGTTATCAAAATCTGATTAGCTGAACGAAAACAATTCTTGAACCTAGGATATTCAGAATCTAGACGTTTCAAACTTTGAAAGACGTCTATTGATTTTAACTTTTTATTCCAACAGCAATCGAATTTACGAGAAATGAGTATATTGTTGTATAATGATAACATTTCTGTCAACTGGAAATTGCAATTAAATCTAAATGAAAAAAAAAAAAAAAAAACTAAAACTAAATTTTGGATCTAATTGAGAAGTTTTCCTTATCTCAAATATATCCTAATCCTACAAGTTTACCAAAATATTTCACTCTCCTAGGAAAATCGATATCCACTGAAGTTGAGAGCTCTTCAAAATGAAGAAACTTCGGACATCAGTTTCGGCTCTAAATTTTGGAATCGGATGTTTTGCTGATATTCTCAGTTCGTGTTACACCGGAGATACACGTCATGTTCTACTCAATTTTGTATCCTGACGCATTGTTTATGGGATTCACTGACACCGATGTGGATTTCCATCTTTAACAGGATATAGAATTGTGTCTTCTACAAAAGGAACATGTTTTACAGTTAAATTCTGCTTGACATCTTCACGTGAAAATCTCCTTAAGAATTTGAATACTATAATTTGTTGCTATTAGCCATTGCTTGAATTAAAGCTGCGGAATGCCAAAAACAGTTGCAAATAATTGAATCTTTACAAACGAAATCAAAATTAAAACAGACTAATCTGAAGGTTTTTTTTTAACTAAACATGATGTGTTTGGATCCATTATGTGTAAAATGTTGTTTGAACTTAGGACTATTTTGCTATAAGCTGCTATTCAAATCCGAATATTTGAAAGTCACTACGAAATTCCTTCTATACAAAAGTATTGTAGATATAGAAACAGTGAAAATTATCATTCTGTCGTCGAAGCATGAAATAAATGTCATCATCACATTCGCTCAAAAACAATGATGAGTCCATTCTTAATACTCCTCAGAAAAGCGGAGTTGAATGATTATACTGATTATAATACCATTATAAGACTTGACATTTTTGTGATATTATTGTGCTGTTAACCGTTAAATATTCTGTACTGTCATCTTTTCATGTCAACATTGTTAATATTATGTCTTTAGAAATTACTAAACATCATTTCACTGACAGCAATTTTGTGGGTACAGTGCATTGTTGTTTTAAGATATGCGTGTATATCTTTACTTCATCTATTCACAAATATGTTTGTCTCATTGAGGGTTCGTATGACGGCTTTGTGATGAATGTTGTAAATCCATTGATATCTATACAAATGAAATGCCATCATTTTATCAGAATGTTCAAACGACCTTTTTGGTGATGTTATATGTTTGTTTCTTGTCGACATGTCATGTTGACGTTTGTTTTTAGCTTTGATTGAAAGCAATTAATGTAAAGATTTTTATGGAAATTCAAATCCTAGTTGTGATGCTTAAGATTTTATTTCTTCTTCCTACTTTGAATCGACCGTTTTCTTTTCTTTCTTGCTATTTATTTATGTTCTTTATTCTGTACTCATGGAATTCTCCATTTCTTGATAGCAACACCCCTGCATCCCCAAGCGATGGAGTTTATATGTCGCAGTTGATTTCATATTAAAGGGCCCGTTTCCGTTATCTCGATTTTCATGCACGAAGTCGTCAACTGACGGGGAAACTCCTACCCAAGGTTTCAAAAGATGCAGGGTAGTAAAAATTATTGGTAAATTTTACTGTCATCACAGTGGTCTCATTGAGAA